CCATCACCATCACCATCACCATCATCACCATCCTCATCACCACCATAGTCACCATCCAACACCATCACCACCATCATCACCATCACCATCATCACCATCATCACCATCATCATCATCAACATCACCACCATAGTCACCATCCGTCACCATCACCACCACCATCATCATCACCATAGTCACCATCCATCATCATCATCACCATAGTCACCATCCAACACCATCACCACCATCATCACCATCACCATCATCACCATCATCACCATCCTCATCACCACCATAGTCACCATCCATCACCATCACCATCACCATCACCATCACCATCATCACCATCCTCATCACCACCATAGTCACCATCCAACACCATCACCACCATCATCACCATCACCATCATCACCATCATCACCATCCTCATCACCACCATAGTCATCATCCATCGCCATCACCATCAGCATCATCATCACCATAGTCACCATCACCACCACCACCATCATCATCATCACCATAGTTACCATCCATCATCACCACCACCACCATCATCACCATAGTAACCATCCATCATCATCACCACCACTGTCACCATCACCATAGTCACCATCCATCATCACACCATAAACATCATCACCATCATCATCACCATAGTCACCATCCATCATCACACCATAAACATCATCACCACCACCACCATCATCACCATAGTCACCATCCATCATCATCACCACCACCATCATCATCATCACCATAGTCACCATCCATCATCACACCATAATCATCACCATTACAGCCACTCTTACTGAAAATCTGCCGTGTGCCAGGCATGCCATATGTTTGCTTTCTATTTTAAGCCTCTTAGCAACCCTGCAAGCTGGGTATAATTATCTCCATATTACAGAGGAGGGATTTTATGAAACCCAGACTGCCATGTCTCCCTGCATTGCAACTCTACCTTGAGGCTGCTTCTTAGTGCCTTTCCCTGACTCCCATCCTGACCCAAAGGCACCGTGTCCCCACACCCGGGACAGTCTATTTCTCAACGTTACCCCCCAGAGTGCCCTGTACGGCACCCCTTTCTGCTTAAAGTTGCAGAGCGGTTTCTCTCGTTGGCCCTGAGCCTGGCCTCACACAGCCATACACATCCCATGTATGTAGAAATTGAAAGTGGACACAGCGAGGAGGCCAGCACGCCGGTGACTTGGGGAGGGCAGGCCTTCGGGTTAGGTACCATTGCCGGGTGCGCCAGACAAAGGCTCAGGGACCTCCACCCCTCCCTCCATTCCTCTCGGACAGGTCATCACAAGGACGCTAGTGGGTACGGAGCTATGCATCTCTGAGTCACACTGAGAGGCCGAATGGACCGGCTTCTCTTAGCACATCAGTGAGATGCCTCAACGGCTGGGGCGGGGCTGAGGGAAAAGATGAAAGGTCACACTAGCATCCCAGGGAAGGGGCACGAGGGATTAATGAAGCTGGATCCCAGAACGCTTGCTGACTCCCAACTGGACATGCTGTCCAGGGGCTATGGGGCCACCAAGCACCAGTCTGTGACCCTCTGTGATGGCCCCTGGCACATAATGCAAGGCAGGGTGTCCAAAACAGGAGATGCCACCAAAGGCACTTCTAACCATGCTGCCACAGAGGGACAGATGGGTGGAGCTGGACAGCAGTAGGCTGGCCCCGGAGGTCCCAGGACCCTGGAGAGGGGACAGCTCTCACTCCCTGATGGGGCCTCCCTGGCATGCTAGGAGGGAGGCACTCAGCCCTGGAGAGGGGAGTCTGTCCTTACCTTACGTCTGGTGAGAGGACAGATGCAGCCTTCTATGCCTGGCTGGGCCTGGCAAACCGGGGCCCACAGGCTAACCTGGACCGCTGCCTGTTTTATAAATAAAGTTTTATTGGCGCACAGCCACACATTAATCTGCATATCATCTGTGGTTAAGTTCACGCTGCAGCAGCAGAGTTGAGTAGCTGTGAAAAAGTCCACGTGGTCTGGAAAGCCAGAATATTTACTAAGTGACTCTTTACAGAAAAAGTCTGCTGGACCCTCTAACCTAAGGCAGGAGTGGAGGGGTTTTCCTGAGAGCCCTGGGCAGCTCTGGGCCCTCCTACAGTCATCAGCCGAGGGTGGGGACAAATCTGGAGGAGGCAGAGTGACACCAGTCAAACCCAGCACCATGAATAACTCAGAATTCAGATTCCCGACACTTCTTGACATTCTCTAACAGAAAGGTTACATGTCCAAAGAGCATCTTGTCCACCATTATTTCAAGAGACAGAAAACACGGTTTTCTGGGTTTGGTTTTGTTTTGTTTATTTTCATGATAAAATATGCTTAAAATCTACTGAGGACAATTAAGGAATGTTTTTCCCCTCTAAGGCAATAATTAAGAAGCACACGTTGGCGCAGATGTTTTACCAGCCAAGGCCAAGGCTCACGATGCGTGTTTTTCTAGTGCAGCCAAGCAAGATCTCCCCATGCTCATAAAGCCATTCCAACATCCAAATGCCTTGGAACACCTAGGGCCCCAGCTGCGTGCAAATCCCATCAGTATGCTTTCATTGAGGAGCTGGCCAGCAGCTCTCAGAATACTCCTTGGAGTCAAACTGAAATTCTTCCCCAACCACATCTGGCTGAGCTGCTCTCCTGTGCCAGGAGCAGGGGACACCCTGAAAGATGGTGGTTTACGCCCCTGAGAAGGTGAGCCCAAACGGGGAGGGGATGCCCCTAGGGAAGACAGGTAAGGCCTAATAACGACCTAACCCTGGGCAGTTCACCCTGGCTGTACTGCAAAGGGCTACAGAGTAAAAAGTACAACTAACTCTATCAGGGGCTCATCAAGGAAAGGCTTGACTGAGGGCAGGATATCTCAGCTGGGTTTTGATGGATGCATAGGAGTTTTCTAGGGCAAAGAATCTAGGAGGTTTCAGTAGCTAGAAGCAAAGTGGGATTACAGAGTGGCTGGAGGGGCCTGGGATGGAGCAGCCATGGAGTGAGCAGGGAAAAGACTTGGGTGTAGGCAAAGGCTGGAGATTTCACTCAAAAAGATGGAATCATTGCTTTGGATTGGATGGCAGAGAGAGGATAAGCAGAGTGCACACAGCTTAGGGGCCCCCGGCAGTCACCCTAATCCATGATTTCCCCTCTGTTCCTCTAAGTGGTGGACCCTCCACCCCTACTTTGCTCAGCTGCTCTGTGGAGTGTCCACACCTCCCCCCTCCAGACCTTAAGTTCCTTGAAATCAGAGAAAGAGAAGAATAAAAGAAGGAAGGACAGAGGAGCCCTTACTAGTGATGTCCAGGAACTATCTTGACTTCAGGCACCAAGGAAACTAACACCACCCCCTGGAGCAGTGCCCCAACCCATCTCTGGGGAGCCAGCCCCTTCCCACACCCCTCCACGGGCCCCCCCTGATGACTTCTGGCCTCCCCCAGCCTCTCGGCAGCACCAGAGGCTCTCAGCTTCACTCCCCATGCGGTAGCCCAGTGGTCACACTGCACGGGGTGTGTGCCCCGTCGTTTAGGAGGCATGCCTGGGGGCAGGAGTCGCATCCCACCCCTGCTGCTTCCCGAGCACACTCACTCCCAGCTCGCCTTGGTTTTCAGTTCATCTCACACAGAAGACTGTGGGTTTTGTACAAATTGTTCTCATCGAGGCTTCACTTGTGGGTGTGTCCCCAAAAGTAGTGAGAGCGGGGTCCTGAAGAAAGATTTGCACGTTCACAGCACCACTATTCACAACAGCCAAGAGGTGGAGGCGACCCATGTCCCCTGACAGATGAATGGACAAAATGTGGTCCATCCACACAATGGAAGATTACTCAGCCTTAAAAAGGAAGGAAATTCTGTCACAGGCGACAACGTGGATAAACCTTGAGGACATTATGCTCAGTGAAATAAGCCAGACACAAAAAGACAAATACTGCGTGATTCCACTCCCATGAGGTCCCTAGAGGAGTCAAATCCACAGAGACAGAAAGTAGCTGGTGGGGGCCAGGGGCTGGGGAGGGCGTGGGGAGTGAAGGTTTAATGGGGACAGAGTGTCAGTTTGGGAGGATGGAAAGTTCTGGAGACGGATGGAGGGGATGGTCATACAATAATGCGAGTGCACTCAATGCACTGAACTGCATGCTTAAAAATAGTTAAGACAGTCAAACGTTTGTTATGTTTTACATATTTAGCCACGATTAGAAAGGAATTAGAAAGAAAAAGCCCACTGGGGTCACGTTTGTACACGTAGTGATGTAAGGCTTGCCTCTGTTTCATGGTGGTCCTGTTGGGGTCTGGTGGGGCACCATAACTGTCTTGGGGGCCTTGTCAGCCACACCCTTCCCCATTTCATGGCTCCACCCCGCAGCCCCCCCAGGCCCCAGTAGAGACCCCCTGTGGGGTACGTGTGACACCATAACCGCAGAGTCTGCACCCTCAGCCATGGGGGTTTCGATGTCCATCTCTGACTGTACTAGCTGTGCCCCAGGACCCTCCTCTCACTTCCTGTGACTCAGTTTTCTTCTCTACAACAGGGATAACCACTCTCAAAGAAGCAGGTGAGGACCACTCCCCGCTCTGCACTGAGTGTGTCTTCCCAGATTCCTATGTTGAAGCCCTAACCTCCCAATGTGACTGTATCTGGAGATGGGTGTTCAGTAGGTGATTAGGTTAAATGAGGTCGTGAGGGTGGGGCTCCGATCTGATAGGATTAGTGTCCTTAGAAGGAGAGACACCAGTGCTCGTTCTCTCTCTCCACATGTAAGGACACAGTGAGAGGGGTCGTGCAAACCCAAACCAGGAAGACGACCTTCTCCTGGAACCAAGCAGGCTGGCACCTTGATCTGGGACGTCCAGCCAGGACTATGAGAAATAAACGTCTGCTGTTTAAGCCGCCCCATCTGTGGGACTTTGTGCCGGCAGCTGGAGCTGGACATCCGCCTGCAAAGCACTCAGCACAGCCCTGGCCCCGGTGCCCACGTGGTTATGGAGGGTGTGGGACAGCCGCCCTGCTCACTGACCTGGTTGTAGAGGGCGCAGATGTGCAGGGCAGTGTTCCCCGAGGCGTTCTGGGCCCCCATGTCAGCCCCATAGAAGAGCAGGTGCTCCAGGTGCTGCACGTGTCCGTACCTGCAGGCCTGAAATGAGAGTCCACGCTGTGAACCGGGAGCTGCCCGGGATGCACCGAGCGCCCCCAGAACCAACGGTGTGGCCGACACAGCCCAGCCCCCGTTCTGGACCAGGTCCCACACCTCAGACTCCTGGGGAATCAGGAGAAGGAGCTCGTATTGGGTTTGAAGACTGTGCTCAGCTGTTCGACTGGGGGGGTCTGCAAAGGGCCCCCCCACCCCGTCCTTCCATTCAGTCGCGAGGCCCGGGAAGCCCAGAGAGACCAGGGCATGTCTTTGCCCCTGGCCTCAGCGACCAGGAAATGCAGACCAGGATGCTCCATCCCAGGTCTTGTTTATCCAAGCTCCCCACCCCGGAGGAGGCGTGACGGGAGCGGTGCATGGACCCGGCTGTGTCCTGGGAAGAGATCCCGCCTGTCCTCTTCAAGGCAAGGGGCAGCCCCACGTTTTTCTGAGCCCTTCTAGGAGGTGATGTGTGATTTATGAGCCAACAGGGCTCTGGGGTCAACCAGATCTGGCCTCGTTTTCCAGAACTTTCACTGAGCCTCTGTCTTCATGTATAAATGGAAACCCTACTCTTTGCAGGGTTCTCATGAGAGTCACATGAATAAGGGGCCTGAAAGGACCCCCAATGATGCTCGGGGACAGGCCAGCTGCCCCCCACCCCTTGCAGCTCACAGGGAGCAGGGAGGGCCCCGTACTGTGACCAAGGGGTCTGCCGTCCAGGTCCAGCAGAGGGTCCAGCGCATGCCGCTCGATGCTGGAGCAACCCTTGACCTTGGGAAGCAAGTCATATCCGACTAACCCCACCCCATCCACCGGCACTTCCTGGGCACCCAGCGATGGGCAGTGCCAAGGGTGTAAGACCCACTGTCCCTCTGGTGGGGTGACAACCGGATAGGGAGACATGAAAGGCAGGAAGCGGGGGTTCTGATCCAGAACTGCTCACACCGAGGGTGGGGAAGCGCCCGGCGGGGAGGCGGCCGGCCAGGCCAGGACAGGCAGCCGTGGGTGGTTCGGGTTCGGCTGCACAGTAGCCAGAGGAGGAAGCCCTCAGTAATCCTGCCTTTCCGATAACTGAGGCAGATTGAGGGGCGTTTCACCTCTGCACGGTCCACGACAAAGAGCTACCCCTCGCCAGTTAATAGAGAGGAGAGATGACAGGAAAGACACGGGGACTAGTAATTGGATGAGCTTTAAAAAAAAAACCCTGAGAAACACCCACTTACAACCCCTGTGCTGCCCGTAAAATCATCTCACCCGTTTACAGAGCAGATCGTTACCGAAGATACGGTTGCTTTTCCCCGCCCACCCGCGCCTTCCCTTCCTGTGGCAACAGTGCCCGCCTCTTTCTCTGGGGGCCACCCGACCCCACTCCCAGAGGTCTGGGGGCCTGCCCCACCCCCCATGCCTGCAGTGGACACAGAACAATCTATCTTCTGGCCACAGGCGTGGGCTGGGGATGCCCAAGTGACTCTTGGGGGCCTGTGAAGACAAGACTGGAACATTTGTCAGAACCACTGAGAAAATGAAGTTCTCTCTTTCCTCCAAGGTGGCCAGTAAAAAAGCCACAGAAGCCCCGAGCTGCTGGGGCCACCAATGCAGAGGGAGGGGGAAGTGGGAGCTGAAGGAAGAAGAGAGAAAACAAGACACACACACACACACACACACACACACACACACACACACACACGGCCAAGCAACAGGTGCCCCGTGGACCCCTCTCAGCTACAACTGTGCCTGGGTTTTTCAGGATGGAAGCCTAGGCATAATTTTAATTTTCCCCTTAAGCCAGTTTGAGTTGGGATTTTTGTTCCTTAAATTGAAGGAGCCCTGGCTAATCAACTCCCTCCAAGGAACTTCCAGGAGGCAAGACTGTGTTATGGCTTAATTGAATTGTCCTGTAGTCAAAAACAGAGAGAGTTAGCGTAAAAAACATTTTTACAATCACTCCAGGCTCACCCTTCCTCTTCCCCTGGTTAATCTGAAATTGTGGGGTTTTACATTACATCATTGGGATGGTGTTCACTTCTCCCCACCAAGGGTTACAACAGGATCAATGCAAAAAGGTAAAATAGAGCCTTTTACTCTGGGCTGACTGTCAGGGAAAGAATCCCCCTCAAGGGCTTCTTTCTCCAAGCCTATTGTTTGAAAACAAGCGAAACCAGAAAAATCAGACAAGTGCTGAAACAAAACAATCTCCTGTAATCCCACAGTCTTAAATTCTACCATTCACTTTTTTAAAGGGTCTTCTTTGCATGTCTCTTCTTTTAAACCACCGGCTGTTACGTGATAGAAGCCGTACTTGCTGAGGAAGCAGCCTTGCAGACGGGGAGGGGTGAAGGGAATCTGAGCAAGGTGCTGGCCAGACCAGTCAGCAGACTGGCTGCATTCAGGGGGGCTGAGCAACAGGTGAATGAATGGAGGAAAATGGGAGCAGGTTTCCCCCTGTCAAAGAAAGGGAGTTACTAATCCAGTGCGCGAGAAAACCAGAATAAACTGTGGTACTGGACAGGAAAAAGAGGTATCAGTATAAGCACATGGTTTTCAATATAGAGAAAAGCAAAAAAAGTAAATGTGTAGGTACACGTGGACGTGCGAGGACGTGTGTCCCTAACTCCCCCTCCTGAGAGGGGCTGGGATCAGCAAAAGCCCGGTAGCAGTGAGCACACTTAATTCTCAGATCTTGGGTTCTAAATACCACTCTATACAGTAAAGTCCCCCTACACATGAACAAGTTCAGTTCTGAGAGGACATTCGTAAGTCCAGTTCGTTCGTAAGCCCAACAAAGTTAGCCTAGGTTGCAGATAACGCCAGACACGGGAACCAAGTTACGTGACTGGACGTGCGAACGCACATTCTCATCTTTGAAAGCTTGCAACTTGAAGGTTCGTACGTAAGGGACTTACTGAACTCAAAGGAACAAGGGCTTCTTACAGAGATGGCCTATTCCAGGGCTGAGGCAGGAAAAGAACGAGATGAGCTTGGAATACCTTGTTGAGCCAGAAGGTAAGGAAGTGCGCAAGGAAGGATGGGGGTATGTCCACAGGACACACAGGCCATCTTGAAGCGGCCCCCTGGACCCAAAGTGGGACAACATTAACAGATGGTTACCTGTTGAATGAATAGACATCCACGAAACCACATTGCTACAAATAAGTGACACATTGCTACAAATAAGTGAATAAATAAACAAGAAGAGAAAGCTCTTCCTGATAACAGAAGGCCAACTAATTAGTGTGAGAAGCAAGGATGGGAGTAGAAAATCTCCATTTAGCAATGAATTACTTAATTCAGACAAGAAATACCATTGGGTGCTAAAACTAGCAGGTGAGAGGGAGATGAGAAAAGGGGTTTTCTAAAATAGTCTAAAGATCCCACAAAATACTAAGTTCAAAGGGAAGAGAAAACTATGGTGGAGAACCTGGCAGATTCCCCGTGATCAGGGGGTCAGAGTGAACATTACCAATAACAGCAAATGGTCACCACCTGCCACGTAACAGGACTGCCAGAAACACATCCCTTCCATGACATTCCTGCAAAAATGCACATCTTGCATCTCATCACGAGGAAACACTGAGCAAACCCAAATTGGGAGACAGTCTCCGAAATGACTATGACTACTCGATAATCTTCAAAAGGGTCCCTTGAGAGAATCTAGGGAAGACTTATGAAGTCTCCCAGATGGAAGGGCTCCTGCAGGATCCCGGACTGGATCCTTTGACTGTAATGGGCATTATTGGGACAATGGGAAAAACTCAAATGTGGTCTCTGAATGAAGGGAATACGGGAGTACTCTGTATTGCTTTTGCAACTCTTAAAGTTTGAAATTAAATACTCATTCACAGTTAAAAGAAAGAAATGAGTGCTTGCTTGACATAAGGACCTCAAAGCTTATCAAAGTAAGAATGTGTCCTCCCCCAAGATAAGCCGTGCTAACCCTCTGTCCTTTTTCTGAAAAGGGTGTTGTCCTCTCTGGCCCTTGGGAGACAGATTAAAAGGATGGACAGAGGTCAGAGAGTAACTAGAATGTAAAACAAAACAGCACCTCTTACACTCACATTGCTTTACCCATTTTTTTCTGAGATGCTTTATGGAAAATGCATGTATGCGTGGGGCTCCGCCCCACATCTCCTGCCTGCAAATCTCCCAGGCACGAGTATTTGGAGTAGACTCCCCACAAGATTTGGGATTTGGGATTCACCGACCTGTGCTGGGCATCCCCCCCAAACACATAATTTGGTGTAAATTAGGGAAGAGGGCTCCTTCCTTCAAGCACTTCACTGCCACCTGCTGGGCACCTGTTGTGATAAATCTACAAGCCTACGTTTACAGCAAGTGTAACAGCGCCCCCTGGGGTTGTGCAATGCAATTGGAGCAATGAGGAGTTCACTGCATTGCAAATGCTTCTGCTTGGTTCAGTGCCACAAGCAAAATTATTTAAGTCCACACCACGCTTAGGCTTTTTTCCTATAATGTGTACTTTATAAGACAAGCTAGAGATATGACAGCAGAACAGTTAGCATGCAGTAAGCACCCACACAGAGAGACCCAGGACCACACCATGAGGGAACCCCCCCAGGGGCCTGCCCCTTACTGTGGGGTCAGGTGAGGCGCCAAGGACTTGGAGCCCAGGGCTGAGGGTGAGCAGGGGTGAGCTCAGCAAGGAGGAGGGACAGGAGGGAGCAGTGGCCAAAAACTGTAATTTCCTTAAAGTTAAAACTCCTCACTTGAAAATGATAAATAATAAATAGCAACCAATAACAAAGTTAAGGCCAAATGATAAAACATCCTTTACAGAATCATTGCAGGAATCAAATGAGACCTGTGTGAAGGCCTGTGAGCAAATTGGTGAAGTGCTCTCTGACTGCCAAGTATCATTCCTCACAGACAAAACCAGACACGGCCTGATGACAATGATAAGGATGACAGTGATGGGGGCGTGGCCAGATGCTAATGACCAGGATGGTGATGGGGGCGTGGCCAGATGATAGTGACCAGGATGGTGA